TCTGGTAAAAAGCTGACTCAAGAATAATAGAAGAAATATAGAAAAAAATTAAACAGACAAGCTGTCTTTGAAATAAGGATAACTGGAGCAGGACCAAATAGCCAGTTTGGGTATTTGGGGGATTCCAGCGTCCTCCAGGCTGAGAGTAAGATATTTGTGTGCAAATGGGAAGGAGGGGAAGGGTGCCCCCGATAGGCTCCTGGAATCCAGCAGGAGAGGGGACTCTGTGCCTGGGGACCCCATCCTTCAGCTGGGAATCTGGATAAACTAAGGAGGAGATGCAGCTATAAGAAAACTCTCTCAGGTTCTAGTGCTGCAATAATTACTGGTGTACCCTGTTCAACTGGTTCCTGCAGAGGGAATTTGATATGTGGATTCTTTAATTAGAGTAAGCAATATCTAAACAAGTTGATTTATACTTATATGATTCACAAACATCGGTTTGGTGACTTTTTCTTTTGTAACCATTTGTACTTCATGTGAGTCATGCCACCTTTTACAAACAGTATGAAGTTTTCAGGAAAAATTCTTTTCTAGTTGTTTAAATACATTGAAATTATGGACACTCTTCAACTTACAGTAGAGTTACATCCCATAATCCCACCATAAGTTGAGGAGCAAACTGAATTCGTATTGCTTTTGTTCCATCATAAAGTCAAAAAACCGTTGATGGACCATGTTAAGTGGGGATTGTCTGTATTTTATTACACTAGTATAGAGAAGAGCAGCTTTCATTCAAGTATTCATTTATAGAGCACTTATGTATTAGTCACCACTTTGGGTACCGGAGATACTGAGATCAAAGACACCCTCCTTGACCTCAATGCTTCTCTGGGCAGATGCTCCTCTTTCATCATGCCTTTACAGGAGGGTGGACTCAGGCCATTCCAACTCTTCAAAGCTCACTTAAGACCAGGCTGTAACATATAACCAGACTTCACTGAAAGCTTTGGGAGAGTGAATGGAAATTTCAAACTGGCTATTAAATATGACTTCTTCTGAATGTCATCAGTTGTCCTCCTCACCTTCCCACCCCAGTCTTAGCTCCCAACGTCCTACTACGTTTTAGGAGCCTCCTACTCACCTTAACAGGAATGCCTTGACCATTAATATCATCACCCCAGAGCCCAGGCTGCCCAAGTCCTCTAGGGCCCAGTGAAAATAGGAACCTGCTCTTCCTGGCCTCAGCCTATGTAAGGCTAGCCTCCCCAGAAATAGAGTCTCAGCTCCGCCCACAGAATGACAACTTTTGATATTAAGTGAAGAAGCTTAGCTCCGCCCTGTCTTGACCCTCCTCTTTCTACTGTGGAATTGCATCTTGACTTTATGTTTCTCCAAGATCACATGACATTTTTCTTTTTTTGGCTTTTTTTTTAAAAGTCAGATTTGTTGAGTGTTAACATATAGGTAGTAAAATTCACTCTTTTTAGTGTCAGTACTTATGAGTATTGATGAATACATAGTCATGTTACCACTATGATAATCAAGATATAAAACCATTCCATCACCCTGCAAAAATCCCCCGTATCCATGTGTAGTGAACCCTTCCTGACATTCTCAACCCCAGGAAAACACTGACTTGTTTTCTGTGTCCAGAGTTTTGTTTATTCTGGAATGTCATATAAATGGAATGGTACAGCATGTAGCCTTTTATATCTGATTTCATTCCCTTAGCATAATGCAATTGAAATTCAGCCATGTTGTTGAGTGTATCAGAAGTACATTCCTTTAGAGTGATGAGTAGTTTTCCATTGTGTGAATGTACCACAGCAGATTTATCCATTCACCAGTTAAAGAATATTTGAATTATTTCCAGTTTTTGATGATTATGAATAAAGCCACTATAACTCTTGCATACAGGTCTTTGTATGAACATAAGCTTTCATTTCTCTTGAGTCAATATCCAGGGGTAGGATTACCGGGTGTGTGTGGTAAGTGTATGCTTAACATTATATGAAACAGAAAATTGTTTTCCAAGGTGGTTGTACAATTTTGCATTCCTACCAGCAATGTACAAGAGTTCTCACTGCTTGGTAGCCTCACCAGCACTTGGTATTGCCAGTTTTTGTGGAGTTTTTTCTTATTCATTCTAATGGTTGTGTAGAGGTATCTCAGTGTGGTTTAAATATTCATGTTCCTAATGACTCATGATGTTGAGTATTTTTTCGTGTGCTTATTTGCCATCATATCTCTTTTTTGTGAGATTATTCAATTCTTTTACCCATTTATTTGTCAAGTTGTTAGTTTTATTATTGAGTGTTGAGGATTCTTTACATATTCTATATCTAGGTCCTTCATAGGATACATGCTTTGCAAATATTTTCTCCCTGTCTGTAATATGTATTTCATTTTCTTGAATAGCATTTTCATCAGCTGTAGCTGCAATAACAAAATACCATAGACTGGGTGACTTAAATAACAGACATTTATTTCTCATAGTTCTGTAGGCTGGGAAATTCAATTTCAAGACCAACATCAGATTTGATTCCTAGCAAGGACCTTCTTCCAGGCTTGCAGATAAGTGCCTTCTCACTGTGTCTTCACAGGGCAGAGATAGGGTGAGCAAGCTCTCTGATCTCTTCTTATAAGGGCACTCATCCCATGATGAGGAACGCAGGCTCTAAATCTGATTTCTTCCCAAAGGCTTCATCTCCAAATACCAGCATATTGGGATTAAGGAGTCAACATATGAATTTAGGGGTAAAGGGATGGAAAGCAATTAAGCCCACTGGTCTCTCAAAGAGAATACGTTTTTAATTTTGATGAAGATCAAATCATCAATGTTTCTTTTATGGATCATGCTTTTGGTGTCAAACCTAAAAGATCTATATCTAACCAAAGATCACAAAGATTTTCTCCTATATTTTCTTCTAGAAATTTTATACTTTTAGGTGTTTTTATTTAGTTGTATGATTCATTTTAAGTTAATTTTTATATATGGTTCCAAGTATGAATCGAGGCTCTTTTTACTTCTTTACATTTGTATGTCAAATTGTTCTAGTACCATTTGTTAAAAAGATAATTTTTCTTCATTGAATTGCCTTTGCACATTTTTCAAAAATTAATTACTCATAAATATGTGCATCTAGTTCTAGTTTCTCTATTCTGTCCCATTGATCTGTGTCTATGATTTTACCAATAGCATACTCTCCTGATTACTGTGGCTTGATCTTAAGTCTTGAAATCCTCCAAATTTTTCTTTTTTAAAAATGTTTCCATTATTCTAGTCCTTTGCGTTTCCATATAAACTTCGGAATAAGCCTATCAATTTTTATTAAAATAAAAAAGCCTTCTGGTATTTTGATTGGAATTGCAATGAATCTCTATAAATCAATATGGAAAGAATTGATATCTTAACAATACTGAGTCTTCTGTTCCATGATCATAATAATTCTCTTGTTTTATTTAAATCTTTAATTTCTTCAGCAATGTTTTATAGTTTTTACTGTATAGGTCTTACATATATCTTGCTATATTTATCGCTAAGTATTTTATATTTTCTATGATATTGCAAATGGTATTGTTTTATAATTGTCATAGCAGTGATTGTTCACTGCTAATATAATATAAAAACATCAGGGTGTCGGCAGATTTGGTATCTTCTGAAGCCTCTCTCCTTGGCTTGCAGATGGCCACCTTGATCTTGGGTCTTCACATTATCTTCCCTCTGTATCTGTGTCCTAATCTATTTATAAGGACACCAGTCATATTGGATTAGGGCCAACCCTAATGACCTTATTTTAACTTAATTACTTCTTTAAAAAGCCTAACTTCATATGCAGTAACATTTTTAGATACTGAGGGTTAGGATTTCAACATGTAAATTTGAGGGCAGGTGACATGATTCACCTCATAGCAACTGTTAAATATGATGATTAGCTGTAGGTCTTTATAGATGCCTTATATTACATAAAGGTGTTAAAATTCTCTTTTATTTTCAGTTTGTTCAGAGGTTGTTTTTTAACTCATGAATGAGTATTGAATCTTGTCAAATTTTTTCCTGCATCTACTAAAATGATATGTTTCCTTTTTTGTTCTGTTAATATGCTGAATTACATTGATTGGCTTTTCGAATATCAAGCCAACCTTGTATTTCTGAGATTAACCCTCTTTCGTTAAGATATATTATCCTTTTTATATGTTGCCAATTTTTATTTTGGAAACTATTATAGAGTACCTTTGTGATGCACAGGACACTAATGAATCTATGTGTGTTGGTGGTGAGCAGAGATGCTGTAAAAAGCTTTCTGTCCCTTTACCATACATGGATGATAAGCATATTGTTTAGAAATATGTAGGCAAATATTACTAACAGTTCATAGAGTTGAGAGTGATTGTTTCTGGAAGTAGGACTATAAGGCAAGGGTGTTCTTATTGCAGTTTTTGTACCATTTAACTTTTTAAAATTATGTGCACTACCAGCCTGAGCAAGAGCGAGACCCCATCTCTACTAAAAGTAGAAAGAAATTAATTGGCTAACTAAAAATATATAGAAAAAATTAGCTGGGCATGGTGGCACATGCCTGTAGTCCCAGCTACTCGGGAGGCTGAGGCAGAAGGATCCCTTCAGCCCAGGGGTTTGAGGTTGCTATGAGCTAGGCTAACGCCACAGCACTCTAGCCCTGGCAACAGAGTGAGACTCTGTCTCAAAAAAAAAAAAAAAAATTACCCGCACACTACTTTGGTAGAAGTAAAGATATTAATAAAAAGTATTATATATATGTATTTTAAAAAAGTAAATCTTCCCTGTCATCTGTTTTTAGTTTATTTACAACCCATTGATTCAGCTGGGATTTTCTATTTTGGGGGTGCATGATGTGTACACATAGAAGTGTCTGCTTTTCCAGTAACTCATCTCAACACAATTTATTGATTAGTCTTTATTTTTTCCCATGATATGAATACTCGTTAAGGATAGTTATTTACACTGGATTGTTTATACACGACCTGTCCTTGCTTGGCATCACACTGATTTGAGCTACAGTGAATGACTTCACGGTGGTGGGCAGGGTCATTCAAGGAAAAAAAGAATAGAATGTGCAGCGGTGCAGAGGATTATAAATGCGGGTCTCTTGGAAATGGATGGTTTGGAAGAATCTGGGGGGTGACAGACGGATGACGAACGTCCGAAATGCAATAGTAAGTGACATTAGTTAAAACGGAACTCTCGGCGTGCTGTCTGTCGGGAGGAAACACTACCCTCCGCAAACTGAAACTCAACGTGAGGCACGCACCACGCACAAAGGCAGGAGACTTGGGGACGCTCGCTTTGATTTCGGGCGCCCGCGCCAGCTCAGGCAGAGATTGGTGGCGCTGCGGAAGTCGGGCATACGTCACTTCCGGCTGCGGCCGGCGGCGACCTTCCGCTCGCGCTATGACCGCCAGCGCGGAGCCGCAGAGGCGACGGCCCGGAGTCGGAGTTGGAGTCGTGGTGACCAGCTCCCGCCATCCCGGTTGTGTCCTCCTGGGGAAGAGAAAAGGGACTTTTGGAGCAGGCAGTTTCCAACTTCCCGGGGGCCATCTGGAGTTCGGGTGAGCAGCCGCCTGGCGGTTGCCAGGAGAATAGCGGACCGCGCGCTGGCGCCCTGCGCGCCGCCGTGCGCACCGTCGTGCGCACGCACGTCCTCGCCGACGCCGCGTCTTTCTCACACATCACCTCGCTTTCTGCCCTCCGCGCTGTGCCCTGCAGGCTCTCGCCGGGAGGGGGCGCTGTGCGTGGCAGGGAAGGATCTCCTCGCTCCCGGGCGGGCTTTGCTAGCTCAGTCTTCTCAGCTGCGCCCCCGCTCGGTCGCAGCCGGAGTTGGCGCGGGAGATGTGTCTTTTCTCCGTGCTTACACAGAAGTGAAGGAGAGTGGGGGTTGATAAACCTCGAGCAATCCAGTGTGGTCAGCTAAGACATCTGCACGGTTTCCATGTGGTCTAGACGTACGCAGATAAATTTAATACTGGCTGCGTGATTGTAGTTGCACTCTGACCTAGCATTTGGGCTAATGAATCCCTCTGGCTCTCAGGTTTCTTCATCTTTAAAATGGGGACGTTGGACGAAATACCCTAAGTTTCCTTTCTGCCTTGGCACCCTGCAATTAGATAATATACCAGGCCGACAAAGGGCGAAGGACCTGGGATGGAGGAAAAAACCTGGGATGGTGCTAAAAAGTGGATTCTGAAGTGAAAATAAGGTTAACATCAATAACAGATACACGGCATCTAAAGCATCCAGACCCAGCGCTTTTTCCCCCGTTAGTATAAAAAATATCAACTGTACATAAAAAGCAGAGAAAATAGTGAATCCTCGTGTACCTTTCATAGAGCGTGTTCTTGTTTCATCTTTACTGCCCCACCCTCCCCTACCCCAAACAGACGCACACACCTGGTTTTCTAGGCTATTTTAGAGGAGATCTCAGACATCCTGTTGTACCATCCCTAGAACTCACTATGTATTTCTATTAGACTTTTTTAAAAAACATAACCACTACACCATATTCACACCTAACAAAACAGTTCTTTGGTATCATCTGATACCCATCCTGTGCATCATTTTTCCTTGATTATCTTAAAAATGTCTTTTTATTGTTTTGTACCTGTTGGAGTCAAAGGAAGGGCACATATTGCATTTAGTTGATAAATTTTTTAGATCTTTCAATTTAACACTAATGTCCCCCGCCATGTTTTTTCCCATGTCATTTATGTGTTGAAGAATGTGGGTCACTTGTTCTGAAGAATTTCTCACATTATGACTATGCTCTTTTAATCCACCTATTCCATATAAAGTGAGTAGTTAGAGGTACAGTAGATGCTTGATCCAAGAGCCTTTTAATCAGACTTTGTCCTTTATAAAATATGGAAATCTTATGATCTTTTAGCACGTGAAAGTTTTTGTGTGTGTTTGGAACTTTTTTATTGTCTTCAGAATTTTAAAAAACATCAATAAGTTTATCAATTTCAGATAATGAAGGTAAGCTATCAGTTAATAAATAATAAAATGTCTAGATTAAGAACCAAATTGACCAGACAGCCACACATAGTGTACTTTGTTGACTGCTGATGGACATTAGCCAAACTTAGATCACAAACTAAGTACTAGTTGAAATGTACAATTACCAGAGCAGTGGCCAGAGATTGCTGTCTGAACAATAGCTCAAGAAAGTGTTGAAGTCTTGACTCACATATCAATGATCATCGCCATCGTTGAACTTTAATGAGCTTTTTACTAAGTGTTGGTTAGCGTGCTAAGCGCTTCACATGCATGCTTTCACTTGATCTTTACTAACTGGTATACCGAGTGTGCCAAATTTGATGGAGAAACAAACAGGATATGGCTTCATTTTCTCTTTCCATTTTCTTCAAACATGATTTGTCTTTCCCTTCTCTTAAGTATCTTTCCTGCAAACTCCATTGTTTTCCTGTCACTTGGTGTAAAAATAATCACATTTGGGTCATTATGACTCATTTCCAAGCATTTAAAAGTCCAGTCCAATTTAAAACTTCAGTCTCACGTCCAGTTTCTAATCTCCCCTGTAGTGCAGAAAGGAGGTGTTGGCCATTGTTTTGCTCTTTGTCCGCCTCCTTCTGTCCTCCCTCTGCTGTTTCTGAGTTGCTTTCCTTCTCTGGTGTTGGGGAAGGAGGAGAAAGGGCAGGCAGTCTGGGTGATGAGTGCTGCTCTAATCCATTCCTCAGTGCCGTCTGGGTGCGGTCTCCAGGTCTCCACTGTGTGCTCTGCTTCCTCAGGGTGTGTTTGTCAGTTGTGTGGAAGTCCCACAAGGATTTCCCTGACAAAGGTGACTGGCTTTCTGTGACACTGGCCCTCTCCCCTAGCTCTTGCTGGTAGCACACTACATTGTCTTTCTGCTGGAGTCCCCTGCTGTTGGATTACAATGGCAGTCTCCCATGGCATCTGCTTGGCCCAAAGGAAACACACAGTGGGAAGGATGCTTTCTTTGTTGCCCTTTTTCCTGGCTCAGGCATCTTGGGTTGCTGTGGCCAGTCTCCCACTTTCCAAATTCCCGAGGTTGGAATAAGTAGCAGCCTTTGTATTCACCTGCATCCCCAAACTCCAAGGGACACATTTCAGATTTACTCAGGAGCTGTTACCCTCCCACTTTTCCTGCTCTAATATGCTGGGGTAGACCCGTGAGTTTCTATAGCTGAGTATGTCTTTAGCAGGAGAGTGACACACTGGTATCTCCTTCTTGAGAGTCACACCCAATCTCTATGACTGATTCTCTTGGAATGCCACTCACTTGGCTTGGGGAGCAGAATTGGCCTCTCATAGGAAAGAAGGGAAACATTTCTACTGGCTAAAAATTGAAAACTTTCCTCCCTTTCAAAGATTGCCTGTCTTTCTTATGTAGCCTGGGTAGGGTGAGGTCACAGGACTAGTCTGGCCTTCCTTGGCAAACCCTTGAGCTCAAATGACATCTGTTTATCTTTTGCTATACTCTTGAGAATTTAGAGGTACTTATTACCTATTTATTGTCTTCAATTTTGAGGCTTAAACTAAAATTCAGAGACTATTGGAAAAGACACAGTACACACTTGATATACTTACAAAGAACCCCATGAGAAAGTAATTTTACTCTCTTTTTACTTGTCCAAGGTAGAAGGTAATGGACTTGTGCTCAAACCGAGGTCTTAATACACTAAACTGCCTCCTGTTGTCATGCAGCTTCCAGGCCTGTGAATTAGTGCTGAATTGGCTAAATGTTAATTTTTGAAATTCAATATGAAGTCCTTTTGATCTTCAGATAATTAGATACAGAAGATATAGAATGTCAAAGGCAAGGTTGTTGATTTATTGTTTTAAAGTAGGAAACAATTACAGTTCTTCTTACTTTACACTAGAAATTTCTAGCCAAAAAATAATTCCGTGGCATTATATAAAATAAATATAAATAAAATATTATATAAAATAAAATAAATAATTTTATTTTATATAAATAAAATTGAATACAATGGTATGTTTCTGTTTTCCAGTGAGAGTTGGGAAGAATGTGCTCAAAGAGAAACCTGGGAAGAAGCAGCTCTTCATCTGAAAAATGTTCGCTTTGCCTCGGTTGTGAATTCTTTCATTGAGAAAGAGAATTACCATTATGTCACTATATTAATGAAAGGAGAGGTAGACATGACTCATGATCCAGAACCAAAGAATGTAGAGCCTGACAAAAATGAAAGTAAGAGAATTATATATAATATGCATCTTTCTTTGAGGCGAGCATATGGTCTGAAGACATATTACATTATGTTGCTTTATGAAGAGAATGCTACGAATGTCTGTGTTGCTCCTAAGTTCATATGTTGAAATTATAACTCCCAAGGTGATGGTTTTAGGAGGTGGGCCCTTTGGGAGATGGTTAGGTCATGAAGTAATGAATGGGATTAGTGCCCTTATAAAAGAGACCCCAGAGAGTCTCCTTACCTCTTCCACAATGTAAGGCTACAGAAAGAAGATGGTCCTCTGTGAACCAGGAAGTGGGCCCCCGCCAGACACTGAATCTACCAGCGTCTTGATCTTGAACTTCCAGCCTCCAGAACTGTGATGAATAAATTTCTGTTGTTTATTAGCCATCTAGTCTAAGGTATTCTGTTATAGCAGCCCTAAAGGACTAAGATATGTAAACATAGAGATGTAACATAGAGATGTCAATATATTTAAATCATGAGGAACCAGACTACTTGGGTTTGTGTCCTGGTTTTACATTGAGAGCTTTGTAGCCTTGAGCAAGGCCTCTTTTCTCATCTGTGGTGTTAGTAACTGCCTTAGATGGGTGGTTGTAAAAGTTTACATATGAAAAGCCTAGTTAACAAGTGAGTACTTAGTAGATGTTAATTTTATTGTTAGTGGTTAATTTTATTTCAGAGACTTACCCTGAAGTCTCTCCTGACTCTCACATCCCTAATTATCTTAGTTAACAAGAGGAATAGGAAAGAGACAGCCCAGCACATTCATTTCATCTGTTTTCCTCAGTTTTATCACCTGTCCAGGAGAGACAATACCTTCCTTTTACCCTGAATAATTACTCTAACAAAACAGTTATCTGTTACTCTCTAAATGTTCAATAGAGTGGTCTGAAAGTTTTCATGACAATTATTTACTATATGCTAGGTGTTGTTCTGAGAGTTTTACCCATATCATCTCTCCTCAAATTCTCATAAAACTGTGAGAAAAGGAACTGAAGAGAAAATTATGAAACTTTTTGAAAGTATTATTTGCCATATAAAACTTTATCCCAGTGGTTTCATATACTGAACTCCCCTCTAAACATTTGATTTCTTCTCTAACATGAAGAATCTTTTCATTCAACAAATACTTATTGAGTACTGTGTGCCAGGCAGTGTTCTAGGCACTAAAGGAACAGTGGTATGTAGAACAAAGTCCCTGCTCTCCTGGACTTTACATTTCAGTGGGAGGAAAACAAGAATAGCAGGCATTTTATGACAGTAGCGATAAGGACTAGAAGGACTAACAAAGCTGTGTAAGGACAGCAATGCATGGGTGCGGTATCAGGGTGGGCAGGAAGGGCCTCTGAGAAAGGGACATATATGCAGAGATCTGGAGGAAGCGATATTCATAGGATGCTTAAATCATGTTTTTACGCATTGATTTGATTGAATGAACAGAAGGGCATGTTGGCTACCCAATGGCTTGTTGAGTCATAGAAGATTTTTGATAAAGTAGGTAACTGCTTAGATCCTTTAAAATGATCTAGCAAAGAAACACCCACAAAGTATCTAAAGGCCTTCAGTTGTCCTAGGGTACAACTAAAATTATTCGTGCCTCAAGAAGTGGAAAGCAGGAGAGGTAGGTAAAAAATGTACCAGGAACAGTGGTGGAGTTCTCTATAAGTCTCTCCTACCTCTCACATTCCTAATTACCTTAGATAAAATGAGGGTTAGGAAAGGAGAGAGCCCAGCACAATAGTAATGGAAACAAAAATCATGGCCTTTACGTTCTGAAGCTGAGGGGAGAAACAGTTGATTATTTGACCTTTTAATATTCAATTGATGTGTAATTGTGCATATTTCTATTTTATTATTTTTTGTAGAACTAAGCTTACTTTTTTCTTTATGAAGCAAAATATGTTAAACATATAATGGAACTTTTTGTTAAATTAGTTTGGAGGTGTAATTTATTCAGGTAACATAGCACGGGTTATCGTTATTTTAAAATAGAGCTCTAAATGTGAAAGGACTGAACATTTCCTTATTTTTGTCTTTTCTGTGGGCAAAAACAGCTGAGCCTAGAAGAGGCAAATATGAAATAATTAAGATAAACTCTCTTGTCAAGACAGCTCTGCTGACACTCGTTAATTTAGCATTTTGCAGCACATTGTTGGGCACTAAGTATCTCTTTCTGTCTCTCCCTCCCTCACCCCCCCTCTCACTCTTACTTTCTCGATCCTTCCACCTCAGTGGAAGGATCAAAGTGCTGGTATTACAGGCATGAGCCACCAACCATGCCCAGGTTAAATAATTTTTACAGTCTGTTAATTTTTTCTAAATATAGGTCAGATTACCCAAATAAATACCCTTTGTTTTCTGTTAGCTAAATAAATGATTTGGTGTCTTTCTTTTCCAGGTTGGGAGTGGGTTCCTTGGGAAGAATTTCCTCCATTAGACCAGCTTTTCTGGGCACTGCGTTGTTTAAAGGAACAAGGCTATGATCCATTTAAAGAAGATTTGAGCCATCTAGTAGGATACAAAGGAAATCATCTCTAGGTGACCAAGAAGATTTCTTGATATTTTTTTTAAAAGACAAAAATAATGTGTTTAGGGAATGAAAAATATCTATATTTCACAACAACTCCATTTTATCTAAAAAGTTCCTTATCACTGTCAATTTATTTGTTGTCTCTTAATATACCCACCACCTTTCAGCCATTACTTGAGAAAATTTTTCCAAAATATGTCACTGAATTGTATTATGGATGCAGAATGTATGATAGTGACATTGTGGCTAATCTGCTTTCCCTATTTATTTATGATATTTACTGTGCAGTTGTCATTACCAGCTTGCATGTGGTAGGGATAATAGAATTCCTCTTAGTGTTTCAGTTCAAATATAGATCCTAATTCAATTATTGTAATTCAGATTTAAACACAGTATGTCTGATGCAGAATTTATCATGTTTGTTGAGTTACGTCTTCTTTTTTATTTAAAAGTTGGTGGTGTTAATATATTGTGACAGTCTTTGCAACTAGAGGGAACAGGACAGGCAATTAGGGTTTATTTCCCTGGTTTCTGATTAAGAACCTAACCCAAGAGAAGTGAGACAGACCATCTAAGTTCTGTATCCTACCATTCACAGGCCATGTGATTTTGGATTTCTCACTTACTCTGAGACCTAGTGTCCTTATATGTAAAATGAGGAGATGGACTAGAGCAGTGGTTCTCAAAGTATGGTCTAGGGGATCCTTAAGAGCCTTTCAAGGATACTCAAGGCCAAAGCTATGTTCATAATACTAAGATGTCATTTATCTTTTTTCACTTTCATTCTTTCATGAGTGTACAGAGTTTTTCAGGGGCTCCCTAATGTGTGATACTGTAACAGACTGAATGCAGAAGCAGATATGAGAATCCGGCTGTCTTAAGTATTAAAGAGATTTACACATATGTAAAGCAATGCCACTCTTCTTACAAATGATTTTTTATGTGTTTTTAAAAAATAGTTACTTTTCAAAATGTTATTTATGTTAACATGTATTGGGTTTTTGTTACTTGTAAATGATTAATAAATTTTTTTATTTCTGAATTTTAATTTCTAATATAAATATTGCTAGTTAAAACCCTGCAGAAAAAAACTTCTTTATGGTATTTAGTAATTTTTTTTAACTTGTTTCCCTACCTTGACATAATTTTCACATTCATATTCTGCTTTTTCATTGAGATATAATTCAAGTTCACTTCTTTGAAATGTTTAATTCTGTGGTTTTTAGTATATTCACAGAGTTGTTCAAGCACCACCATCTAATTTCAGAACATTCTCATGCATCAAATCCCAAATTTGAAAATTATGTCAAGGTAGGAAAACAAGTTAAAAAAAATACTTGTCTTCCAAATTCTCCAAGTTCCCAGGAATAGAATTATTAATTAGATTGATAACTTGAATAACATATGGCATGAAATGAGTGTTCTAGTTTGGAATTCTGAGAGTACATGGCAGTCACTCCCCATTCGTCCCTTCCCCATTCCTTGGAAACCACCAATTTACTTTCCATGTCTAAAGATTTGCCTATTCTGGGAATTTCCTATAAAAGGAATCATACAATATGTGGCTTTTTTGCCTGGCTTCTTTGACGTAGTATAATTTTTTCAAGGTTTATCTGTATAATAGCATGTACCAGAACTTTATTCCTTTTTCTAGCTGAATAATATTGCATGATATGGATACCACATTCTATTCACCCACTCATCAGTTGTCCGGACATTCCAGTTGTTTCCACCTTTTTACTACTATTAGGTAGATAGTTAGGATCTCTGGCTCTTGTAGGGACAGTTGTGCCCTGCTTTTTGCTGTCTCAAGCTATTGCTCCACCTGGGAAGAAGGATAAGGGTGGGCACTCTGTTTTGGTGCTATGCCACCCTTAATTGTATCCAGAGCACCTGCTACACCAGGGAAGGAGGGAATGCTTTATCAATCTGGGAATTCCCCAACCCAGGCATGATAGGATTTAGAAAGTGACCTAGAGTAACCTGAGGGTAATTATTATATCATTAGCGTGAATGTACATTGTGGTTCACTCCCCCCATGTGGGCTTTTGGAGAGGGAGCTCATATACACAGATGGAATTTTGAGGACACCTGTTGATCATTTGGTAATATCCCACACCTCTCGAGAGCCCACCCTCAGACTGGGCTAATAAAAGGAAACAATCTGAGAATTCAGAGAGTATAGTCAGAAAGTCTGTCTCAGCTAGAGGAGACAGACCTGTTTTATTCTACAATAAAGAGTTGCTCAAGTAAAACCGCTTCCTGCCTGAGGTTTACTGCGTCGCATTGGCCCTGCTGGTGATTTTTCCAAGCAAGGAGTCAGAGGACCAAGATAATAGTCTGGACTTTACACTTTGGTCTGTCTGGTCATTCTTTGGCCAAGAGCACACCAAAACTGAAGGCAGACTGTCACCCTGACACTACTATGAATAATGTTTGTAGCAAATGCTTTGTACAAGTGTTTGCACAGACATATATTTTCAAATCTCTTGAACATATACCTAAGAGTAAAATTGCCTGGCTGTATGGTCTATGTTTAAGTTTTGAGGAATTGCCAAAAGGTTTACTGAAGTGGCTGCTGCATTTTATACCAGCAATATAGTAGGGTTCCAGTTTCTACAGATCTTTGCCAAAACTTACTTTTTGCTTATAGCATTGTTGTGCTACCATAACCACCATTCATTTCCAAAGTTTACCATCTCCCCATATTGAAACTCCATACCCATTAAACACTAACTCCCCACTCCTCCTCTTTCCCAGTCCCTGGCAACCACCTTTGTACTTTGTCTCTAAAAATGTAACTATTCCAGATACGTTAGTGGAATCATACAGTATTTGTCTGTTTGTGACTGGCTTATTTCACTTAGCATAGTGTCCTCAAGTTTCATCTATGTGTATCCAATGTGTCAGTTTCCTTTAAGGCTGAATAATATTCCACTGTATGTATATACTACATTTTGTTTTCCATTCATCCATCAATGGACACTGGGATTTCTCCACCTTTTGGCTATTGTAAATAACGCTGTTATGAATGTACCAATTTCTATTTGAGTTCCTGCTTCTAATTCTTTGGTGTATGTCAATGATATTTTATAGCTTTTAGTGTATGTCTTAAACACTTTTTAAAAATTTATTCCTTAGCGTTTTGGGTTTTTTAATGCTATTATAAATGGAATTGTCTCATTAATTTTCAAGATTTTTTCATTGACTATAGAAATACAACTTTGTGTATTGATCCTGTATTCTGCAACCTCACTGAATGCATTTATTAATTCTAATATTTTTTTAGTGGATTTCTTAAGGCTTTCTATATACAAGATCATGTCACCTACAAGTTGTGTATGGCCCTTGAATTTCTGCTCAATTTGCTTACTGGTCAGCTAATGACTGGACAAAGATTTCCATAAATGCCTTTGCCATAGCAGCTCCACGTGCATGTTGGAATACACTTTCAATGCCCTAGCCATTTATAACTCTACCTTTGTCTCAATTTCCTGCTTGTACAAAGCCTGAAGGTCAGACAGAAGTGAGAGATTAGGGCCTTTTATGTCTTCCCTGGGCATACATACAATGCCAAGCATGCATGTGGCCTTCCAGTTTCCCAGGAATATATCAGAGCTTGAAATACCCACATTTCAAATATGGATATTTTAGTTATGAGATTTTCCTTTTATTAGTCAGCTTCTTGTTTGCTCTAATTGTTATAGCAGTTTAAGGCAGCTGTGATTATTAAAAGATTTTTTTTTTCTTTTTAGAGATAGGTTCTTGCTTTGTCACCCAGACTGGAGTGCAGTGGCACAATCATAGCTCACTGCAGCCTCAAACTTGGGCTCAAGCAATCCTGCCACCTCAGCCTCCCAAGTCACTAGGATTACAGGTATGAGCCACTGCACCTGACGAATATTAACCACCCCTAATATTAAACTATTGTTGCTGATTGTTTTTGACAAACGCCCCCAAAGGAAAGACTGTTCACAAATGAATGAGTGAGCTCTGAGTCAGATCAAATGAAGACCAACTTTGTGTTATGACCTTTTAATAAAGAAACCATTTCCAGAAGCAGTTATTTTAAGAACATGTACCTGGACACACAAAACTCCTTTTATATTAAAAAAAAATTCAGAAATAACATACAGATTTTATATTTGACTCAGTACTTGATATACTAAGGTCAAATCTCACTGTTTATGTACTGCTAATGGAGAGTACATTCATGTGATTTGCAAGGAAAAAGTTTAGTTTATCTATGATAAGCAGAATAATGCTCCCCCCTTTCCCTAAAGATGTCCAAGTCCTAATATCCAGAACCTACGAATGTTATATTACATGGCATGGAAGAATTAAGGTTGCAGACACAATAAAGGCTGCTAATCAGCTGACTTTATGATAAAAAAATTATCTTGGATTATGCAGTGGGCTCAAACATGCCAGTGGTAAATTTTTTCAATTAGTCTTTAAAAACTCATTTCTTCTAAGAATAGGAGTGTGAATCTCTAAGAAACTTACTAGTTGTGATTACTAGTTCTGATATGTTCATTACGTCACACTCATTCTGACTCCAGAATTCTACTTATAAAATGCAACTAGATTTACAGAAAAAATTTACCTGTACTTTTGATATTATTTAAGTTTTTTTAAGAAAAGCATACAAAGTACAAACAAAAATTTATTTACAAAAATTACAGTAATTACAAACAGTACAAAATGAGACATTTTCCCTGTTCCTGTAACAAGATGCCAAGAGCCTTCATTTTCTAATGAGGATCTTTGTTATTCTGAAATATGACGCATATTCAGTAATCTACTGCCTTTTAAAAATGGTTTTCTAAATACCTTCAGGAAGCCTATTAGAGGCTATGTACATGGATCATTTCCTTCAAATCTCATTTCCAGAACTACTATGTACAAATTCAGCACAAATGGAACAGAACAGGTAAGGCAGCACTAAACAACTGAATAATCTTTTTTTTTGCAACAGTAAATTTTGACCATTCCTAAATATTTGCCTAGTGGATTATAACTAAAACCATGACTTTTGGTTTTAAAAAGAAAGTTCACTTTGATTTTTAATGGGCTGCACAATTCTACCATAGCCAGTATTTGCCTGGCTATTTCTATACATTTGTAGTTTACATTTCCCTGCCACTGTTTAAGAAACAGAATTTTACAGTTTTCAATTCTGTATTCTGTCTTTTATGTTTTTTTAATCAGAGTCACTGCTACTACTTGAGGAGTCTGTTGACATAACCTCCACATCATCTTCATTTTCTTTATTGTGCCCAGGAGGTTCCAGCAGGAAGTCATTACTGTGATTTGGTGGTAGCATATTCATTGCCATATCATTTGACTGCCATGGATACTGTGGAGCAAGGACATCTGGAAAAAAGAAAGCAGCAGGATAACAGTTGTATTTGTAATCAGTCTAATTCTTAATTACTTTTCCCTTTATGCAAATAATTTGAAGTTAACTTTAAGGCTAGGAAAAAAATACACATTTTGCCAAATGAATGAAGATCAAATATATCAAGGAAAAGTGTGATGTTTTAGCAAATGAGAACCTGTTTTTTTTAAAAAAAAAAAAACTACCCTATTAAAAAACTCAAAAAAAACAAAAAACAAACAAACAAAAAAAAATTAAAGTCCCAGATCAGTTGACAAAAAAAAAAAAAAAACTATTCAAATAGTTGACATAATTTTTCTTTTGTAAGACATTTATAATTATAAATCAATGTATCCTATATATGTATTAGATTATTCTATATATTATAAATAGGTAATACCTACTTCATTAAGTATTAAATCAGGTTGAACAGTTTCTTACAAGATAGAGGAATTGCTGCTGAAAATGACTCTGATCAAAGAGAAGTTGATTAGCAAAGTATGTATAAGACACATCTTACCAAAAAGGGCCTAAGTCACATTAAAAGTATTTCTCAAGAAAAGGAACAGAGCACATAAGTAGGTGTATGTAGGTGAAGGCAAAAGAAAGAAGGCAGATTTAAAAAGAGTTAAAAGAAAAGAGTTACGATATTAACTAGACAGGTATGTCAGTTAGCTTTAAATCTTCTCCCTGGCCCTGAAGTCATTTCTCCTTTGCCAGGTGCCACAATGTTAAGCTTTGTCAGTAGAGAGCGCTGGTGGGGGCAAGAGGACTTGCAGAACAGGCTTTACTTCCTGGATAAGGAGTTTTCCATTACTCCTGGATGGTGTGCAGGACATCAAGTATGTTTACCTCAGCAACTCTCAGTGGCATCCCTGAAGGTGGTTTCCCAGTAGGATTCACCACAATCCCAAAGGGCAATTCCTAGCAAGTCTGCCCAGAACCCCAATGGGTAATTCCTGCTTGCCAGCTCTGGCCCTTGACATCTCATCTAACTTCTCTGCCATGCAGTGGGCCATATAGCTACACTACACCCACTCCAATGGGTGTACAGCACTATGATAAGACCATCAGCCTTGGGATGGGGGTGGGGAGGACCCTTTCTAAGAAAGTTAGTCCCTTTCTTGGGTACCCTGCCTTGGTCCTAGATGTAGTCATTACTCCCCATATCCATTATTCTTATACTTTAAAAAAATAGTCCTTTTTACCCATTAGCAGTTCCTTGTTATCAGTTAATAATTCTTTAAAATTTCCTTGTTCAATTACTAGTGTAGTTTCTGTCTCCTGACTGGAGCATGACTGGCATGTAATCTAGTACGATCACAAGGAGAAAGATGAGGCGATATCCAAGGAAACTAATATATGCACAGTGAGTTCTTCAGTTTGTACATTAAGTAGCTAACAAAAATGACACATACAATGCATTTTTAATAACACAGGCATCCTTATGATATAGTGTTAAGCAAAAAAAAAGCAGTATCTAGAGCATAGGGGAGAAAGAAAATAGGCTAAAATATTTAAAGTGACTGCTTCAGATAAGGTACAATTTTTTCCTTTTGTATGCCGTTTTTCTACTTTTCAAATATTCTACCACCTCAAAACAAAACTCACCTACAAGATTTGAGGGATAACACATAATAAATACAAAAATAGCACAAACATAAAAAACTTATGGAAAATTAAAGCTCAGAATAAACTGTGTCCCACAAAAATGCTATTTTATAAAGTTATAAGAAATCTATAAAAAGCTTTTGTTACTCATTTTGTTAACTTGGGGGTTGTTCAGGAGTGTGTTCACTTTGTCTCTGTACCTTGAACATATTGTTTTTTATTCAATCTGTATAGCATGCTTCACAATTATTTTAAAAAACTATGTTTAGAGCAATAATAAAAAGAGAGGCCCAATGGCTGAGGAATATGGTATAATATTAACAAAAAAGAGAGAGAAAGGCAGCTTATTCTAATTTCCATCTAGAAGAATCTTTAAAGCAGAGAGCAGGGCCGGGCGCCGGCTCACCCCTGTAATCCTAGCACTCTGGGAGGCCGAGGCGGGCAGACTGCTCAAGGTCAGGAGTTCGAAACCAGCCTGAGCAAGAGCCTGTCTCTACTATAAGTAGAAAGAAATTAATTGGCCAACTAATATATATATTTAGAGAGAGAGAAAAAATTAGCCAGGCATGGTGGTGCATGCCTGTAGTCCCAGCTACTCTGGAGGCTGAAGCAGGATTGCTTGAGCCCAGGAGACTGAGGTTGCTGTGAGCTAGGCTGACGCCACGGCACTCGCTCTAGCCTGGGCAACAAAGTGGGACTCTGTCTCCAAAAAAAAAAAAAAATTAGTTGAGTCTGGAACCTCAAACTTGTACAGCCAGATATCCCATCATTGTCATCTCTGAAAAACCTTCATCTGTTTGAAAACATTCTTTTGATGAACATTACCTGGCAGTCTGCCCGCAGCAAGTGCATCCCTGGTAAATGACGTTCACACCATTAGTGGAGGATTATTCATTTGACCCAATAACCACTTCTCATCTTAATCAGTTGGTATGGTCTCCGAGGGTCCCCTAAAACAATGAACACTGCTTTTAATTAATTATACATTTAAAAAGATTAATACCTTCTTTGAAGTATTAATTTTCCTTGGTTCACACTGAAAAGTTCACACTATACTCAACTTTGAAATATGAAAGTCATCCTATGAATTGTTATTAAGGCATAACATTTTTTAAAACATACATTTTATTCTCTAATCTTCCCAAGAACACTATTTTCGTTTAAAAAAATGAGATGTCTGTCATCTTAGTAAACATTCCAAATGACAACTTAGAAAAACTATAATGTCTAGATTCTTCTAAGTTAACTTCATTTTCTAGTAAAAATACAATGATATATTCTGAAGGAGAAAGATCATGACTTTACAGAAAGACTGGGATGTTATTAGAAGGACTGTCTAAATTAAGATGTTTTCTAACCAACCTCTTTGATCTTGTCATTTAGACTAATTTCTATGACTTTCTAGTGGAATATCAAAAGCAGGGAATGTTTATTCCAATCATAAAAGCATACTAAATAGCAGTTTAGGGTTGATAAAAAACATAGCCAGATTTGGACCAACTTTTTAGTAGTGTTTCTCATCAACTCCGATTACTCCCCCTAAAATTATAGTTACCTTAGTGCTTTTACCATAATAGCACCTTCAGGAGTTACTAAAGTGGGAAAACTATCTCCCATTCCTCCAATAAGGCTGCTCTTTATGTTTTATCCACTGTCAATATGTGCAGCTTGTTACTTTCTATGCTGTTTTTCCCCCTTCCTCTTTCTGTGGTCAATCTTTGTTGTTTCTATTCTTCCAGCTCTTTCCTAGCCTGTTGTGTCTGCTTTGGGTCTCAGTGCCTTGCTTTTAGCACCTAAAAGAACTAGGATTGTCTGTTGCTCAGGCTGGACCTTTGTGACTCTCCTGATGGTTCTGAAACATTGGCTCTGACCAGCCTGGTTTTAAAGGCATATAAATATAGCTTTAGAAGCATCACGTTACCTTATAATTTTTAAATTATATTTATTATTTTAAAAGAGCAAAGAAATGCAGTCCCTAGTGGCAATGACTTTGTAGAAAATCAAATTTATAAAACCATGGCCTATATCCTTGTAAGACATTAAGGTGTGAAAAATGTAGCAGATGTTTCTAACAATAAATACAGTCTGTATTTTAATCTATTTTATAGACAATCACCTAAGCATTTTCAAAACCACATATACGTAGTATAAAAGAGAAGTATTTTTACCTGGAACCCAGGTCAGTGGAGCACACAAGCATTACTTGCACTAATCCTATGTGCATACTTAATTATTTCTTCAGAGGAGATAGCACCTGAAATGACGTAAGGAAATAGTGTAACCTTTTAGTCTAGTATACAGGCTTAGAAGAGCATATCATAGTAACACATTGTACTTATTTTTAAATTACCTGAAAATATAATCTCAGCCACCCGCCTTTCCTAACAATACCTGCATATATATTGAAACTTAATCACATACATTTCCAAACTAAAGAACAAGGCACTACTTAAGAAAAATCGACTGACATAAAGAAATAAATTTGGGGGACCTGAATGACAATACTCAAAATAACTTAATTATTAACTAGCATTTTACTACTACTACTCTTCCGAAAACAACGGTGAGCACAAATAGAGAAAACAGTGCTTAATTTCTCAATGACAATCCAAGCTATGAAATCAGAGCAGACAGTTCACACTATTCTGTTTGATTAACATGGTTCAAAGCTTTAAGTAGACCTAAGTAGAAGGATGTTACAAGGTATTCATTAGGTGAAAAAAACTAAACTGCTTATATTCCATGAATGTGATAAAATAAAATAAAAAGAAAACAATAACTGGTAAATACGTATAGCATGACCTGTATTTGTTTTAAATATATGTACATGTGTGTTTACATTTTTATTTATATATGTATTCACAGACCTAGAAAAAACTGAAAGGACACACATAAACTTTAACAGCAGTTATCTCTGAGAAGTGAGAACAACTCACTTTTCATTTTATAAACTTTAATTATTGCTTCAGTACAAAGGTACTGTGTGTACATATGTAAAATTTCTGAAGACTAAAACAAAAAAACCATGGTCTAGAATTTAGACAGCCAGCCTCAGTCACCTCTCCTGGAGTTTGATTCTTGTTGGAGAAGACTAGCCCGTCTCTTGCAGCAGTCCCAACCTGTTGTCACCAGGCACAGATTTCATGGAAGACATAATTTTTCAGGTTTCCAGTCTTCCCACAGTACTAACCTTTTCTTGCTTTTTCTATTGGACTTAAGTTTCTCTTTTGCTTGATAAACAGCTGTTGCTAATTTAACAAGAATTAAAAAAGAAATATGTTTATTATTAACTATATCAAGAATAGTTTTGGCTTAATTCACAAGATCATTTATCCCACAGGAACAATAAGCAAAATTTGGAAATCTCCACAATTTATTTGTAATGTTCTGAAACATCACTTGATATCATTAATTCATCATTATTTAATGAAGAATTATTATAGTATAATGTATATCCTCAACTTGACACCGTGGTTAAGAGTATGGAGTCAGATCTAGGTTTAAGATCAATCTCTCTATTTTTAGCCTCCTTGGGCAAATAGTTATTTAATTAAAATATTGGTTTCTTCATTTGATAATGACATTGAGTTATATAAATGTTCATAAAGACTGAAACAGCCAGACTTGGTGCTCATGCATGTAATCTAGCACTCGAGGAAAAGACAGGGGGATTGCTTGAGTCAGGAGTTCAAGACCAGCCTGAGCAAGACCCATGTCTCTACACAATAGAAAATTAAACATCATGGGTTGCATTTGTAGTTCCAGCTACTTGGGATGAGTAAGAGGAGTTGCTTGAGCCAGGAGTTGTGTTGCAGTGAGCTACAACGACACCACTGCACTCTACCCAGGGTGACAGAATAAGATTTGTCTTTAAAAAAAACAAACAAACAAAAGACTGAAATAACACACTATACAGTGCAAAGCATAGGCCTGTGCCTAAATAGTCAATCTAGTTGCTACTATGTATCATTAATTCAGTTTTATGGTCCTTGTGTTCACTGTTTCATTCAATAATTACATTTGTAGAAATCTAATCCAAGAATATAATCCAAATGCAGGAAAAAAATTTTATCTGCAAGGATATTCATCAAAACATTATTTATACACAAAATTGAAAAACTAAATAAAGATGATACAATTACATGGGAAATGCTTAAGTTTTAATAAATAGTAATTGAAAATCTGTTAGTATCTTGCTAATCACAATAAGCTAAAAAATGAATACCCAAGACTTAAAGGAAATAAACCAAACTGTGAATAGTGACATTCTTTTAAGTGGTTGGACTAATGGCAACTTTTCCCCTCTTCTTTCTACTTTTCTGTATCTTCTAAATTTCTTTTGATAAGTATTGCTTTCATAGGAGAAAACAGATTTTAATATATTTTTGAAAAAGCATTTACTTGGGGCTGTTTCTTCAGTAGAGGTGGTTAATTTACCCTGAATCACTCAGGCTTTTATTTATTGAAGCCTATTTTGATACACTTTTGAAGAAGTTCATCAGAGATAAGGATGCCAGCAATGTCTGGTCTATGAGAATCAAACTCAGCTATTGCTGCAATACCACTACATAACAATTTCATTAGTTAGTATTTAGTGAAATAACTTGGCAAATAAATTGCCTCTTAGAAATAGTAACCAAAAAAACAAAGGAAAAATTAGGATCCCTGACATATATCCAAATCCTACCTAGTTTAGGATGAAAGATTAAATAAATTAATGCAATCAATTTTAGTCAATTCATAAAACTAGTATATATTTTTTACTGATTTCTAAATATTTAAAAACTGAAGATTTAGCCTAAGGATCAGAGACCAAAAGAAAAAGAAAAAACAAGAGAGAGAGAGAGAAACACTGGCCTTTCATTTAACCACTGACAGGATGTCATTTTTAAACTTGGAAAGTCAGTTTCCTGCTCTTCAAAACACTGATAGATTTATGTCTCAAAAACAGATTTAAAAATATCCTTTTTCACCTTAAGAACCAACCTCTACAACTTACCAGTATTTGTTCTGCTTCCTTTAGTTGTTTTTGTAGTTGCTGAATATCACTGTCTCTCTTCTCTACTTCTTTTTCTAAAACTTGCATTTCATGATGGATTTTTCCCTGATTAAGTGCTAATTTCATTAGTTCCTGAAATTCCCCATCTCGGATAATTAACAACTCCAGGACCTGTCGGATAATAGTTGATTAAATCAGACAACAGAATACTGAAGGCCTGCATTTCAATGAAACACAAGAATCCATAGGTGAATTGGCTAGGCTATAAAATGTTAACACCTTCAAAATATTATTCCCTTCCCCACTTCAGCGAGTTGAAAAAGGAAAAAAAATAAAATTACAAAATATTATTCCCGATCTTTGTTAAGAATAAAATAGCCTAACTATGATTATTTTGGGAAACAGATTAATATCAAGGTTTTCTACTTTCTCTGCTATTCTTTCATACCAAACCAAATAAAACTACCCTTTCAGGATAAGCAATATGCCAACATGAGCAGGTTTACTTGTTTCCCAGGCAAGATAAAATTTAAAAGTTTATCCTTACAAATACAGTGTAATGGAGACTCTCACAGAATTTGGTACCCAAGATGATTTTAGGTGGCACCAATAACTTTTTATAGGTACATATTTGTGCTGATATATATTAGAAAAAAAATGTTAACTGGGACATTAAACCTGTTATTTCATGCACAGCACTGCTTAGGATGAAGATGGTCTAAAAAATACAGTGATTTCAAAATACAGTAAATAAACAAGTGGTATGCAGATACGGCAAAAAACAAAACAAAACAAAAAAAAAACGAAGGTTAAAGTGCATAAAACAGAAAGTCTGGGGTCCATATCTCTAGTCCTACATTTGCTAGCTGTCTGACAGAGGGCAAGTTGCCAGCCTTTCTGAACCCGTTTTCTCATTAGGAAAAGAGATATAATAATAGTAGCAGTTACATAAAGTTATTATGAGGATTCCTGATATTATGCATGTTAAGTAGACACAGGAAGAGCTTAACAAAGGCTAGTATCATCACCACCCCATTATGGAATTAAGATGCAAGTCTAATCTAACTACTCATACTTTACTGTGCTAAGTAGAGAATAATACTTCAGAAAGGAAAATGGCTATCAAAATCCAGAATCAATTTAAAAATTATTTTTAAAAGTGTATTAAAGACTGAAAAATATAGGTATTTCTCTCATTTTTATAGGAATTCTCACAAAATATACAAAAAACTGTGGTGTAACTTCTGTGTATTGAAGATTATTTATCCAGCAGATTACTAATCTTCATTCATTCTTCCCAAGTCATAGGAGAAGAAAGCTAGATTTCCATTTCTATAAAAGCCATATTTTTAAAGCAAGTTCCATGAAAACTTTCAAGAAGTTTACATGGTTTGAACTAACTTTTATGCTACCAGACAGTAATAAAAACTCTTTAGATTTTATTATTTAGTAGGAAAAAAATATTCAGTTAAAGTCAGAAGACCTAGTTTGTGGTTGCCCTCACTATTAACCTCTAGCTCATTTGTCCACCATGGAGCTCAGTCTCACAGAAGGCTAAACTGAAGACCATTAGGATTCTTTCTAATTCTAAAATTCTATATGAAATGATATGAATATTTGGATAAAATGGTGGCTAGAAAATTCTCAAACGGGCACATTGCTCTTTAATATTTAATAGTTTCAATGAAAATCAGGAATCCATGGTGCCAAGTACAAGATACAGTTCACAGAATTCCAACTCCTTAAAAAGTGTAAGGTAGGCTGGGAGCAGTGCTCAGGCCTGTAGTCCTAGCACTTTGGGAGGCCAAGGCAGGAAGCCCTTCAGAGCCCGGAGTGTGATGTTGCACTGAGCTATGATCACGCCACTGCACTCTAGCCCAGGCGACAGTGGGAGACCCTATCTCAAAACAAAAATGAAAAGTGTAAGAAAGGTTAGTGCTGACTATGCAGGTCAATTATCACCTTGTGAATAGTCTGTGTGCCTGACTCATAGCAAGTAATAAGTGTCTTGTAAATCCTAATATCCCTAAAGTTAGCAGCTTTCCCCAACTTGTGGCCTTATCTGGATCACTTTTCAGGGGATTAATCCTTGAAGAAAACAGGTTCCCTGACAATTCTCTATTGGGTTCGCCAGATTTCTCTGCCCTCAAAACATGTCATAAGATAAAACTTGGATAAAGAAGGGGCAGAGGATGGGGAGAAAAGGTCTATGAGATACTCCTGTTTTATATCTTCTCTAGAAAGGTTAGTCCTCCTCCTTCATTGTCTCTTAAGAATATCTTTTACAATGGGGTAAAAGCATAATATAAAATTTAGCTTCTGAAAATTTTCTGAATCAGAAAAAATATCTGCTCATTGTAGAAAATTAGAAGAACAGGAAAGTATAAAGCAAATAAAAACTACCTGTAAAATTGACACCCACAAGATAACTTCTATTAACAGTTGTATGTTCTTTTATTTCTATTCATTTTCAAGTCGTATTAGGGGAATTAAGCCTAATAAAGGGCTAAGTTTATGAGAGCATTAACTTTTGATTCCAAATACTATTTTAATCTCCATTTAACAAATTTTGTTGGTTAATTCAAAAGATGGAAATAAATGTATAGGAATAACTAGAACTATAAGAGAAAAGAATAATATATTGCCACATCTTTAGGCAACTATTTTCTTCTTAGGCATACCATTATCTTACATACATGATACACAGAAAATATCAATTTTAATGTTTCAATTAATAACTTAAAAGGATCCAATCTTCCTATTCTTACACAAAGTAAATATAAATAGAAAACTTATAGAAATTACAGTTTTTTGTCTTATTTTTTAAATTAAAAAAGAAAACACTTACCTGGTTTTCTTCTCCCGACTGCAACAACTTTTGGTTTCTTGGGCACAGATTTCATGGAAGACAATTATTTTTCAGGTCTTCCAGTCTTCCACAGTACTAACCTTTTCTTGCTTTTTCTATTGACTTAAGTTTCTCTTTGCTTGATAAACAGCTGTTGCCTAATTTAAACAAGAATTAAAAAAAGAAATATGGTTTATTATTAACTATATCAAGAATAGTTTTGGCTTAATTCACAAGATCATTTATCCCACAGGAACAATAAGCAAAATTTGGAATCTCCACAATTTATTTGTAATGTTCTGAAACATCACTTGATATCATTAATTTCATCATTATTTAATGAAGAATTATTATAGTATATGTATATCCTCAACTATGACACCGTGGTTAAGAGTATGAGTCAGATCTAGGTTTAAGATCAATCTCTCTACTTTTTAGCCTCCTTGGGCAAATAAGTTATTTAATTAAAATATTGGTTTCTTCATTTGAATAATGACATTGATGTTATATAAACTGTCATAAAGACTGAAACAGCCAGACTTGGTGCTCATGCATGTAATCTAGCACTCTGAGAGGAAAAGACAGGAGGATTGCTTGAGTCAGGAGTTCAAGACCAGCCTGAGCAAGACCCATCTGTCTACACAAAATAGAAAAATTAACATCATGGTATGCATTTGTAGTCCCAGCTACTTGGGATGAGTAAAGAGGATTGCTTGAGCCCAGGAGTTTGTGGTCAGTGAGCTACAACGACACCACTGCACTCTACCAGGGTGACAGATAAGATTTGTCTTTAAAAACAAACAAACAAACAAAAGACTGAAATAACACATATACAGTGCAAAGCATAGGCCTAGTGCCTAAATAGTCAATCTAGTTGCTACTATGTATCATAGAATTCGTTTATGGTCCTTGTGTTCACTGTCTTAATTCAATAATTACATTTGTAGAAATCTAATCAAAGAATAATCCAAAATGCAGGAAAAAAAATTTTATCTGCAAGGATATTCATCAAAACATTATTTATACACAAATTGAAAAACTAAATAAGATGATACAATTACATGGAAATGCTTAGTTTTAATAAATAGTAATTGAAAATCTTTTAGTATCTTGCTAATCACAATAAGCTAAAAATGAATACCCAAGACTTAAAGGAAATAAACCAAACTGTGAGTAGTGCATTCTTTTAAGTGGTTGGACTAATGGCAACTTTCCCTCTTCTTTCTACTTTTCTGTATCTTCTAATTTCTTTTGATAAGATTTGCTTTCATAGGAGAAAACAGATTTAATATATTTTTTGAAAAAGCATTTACTTGGGCTGTTTTTTCAGTAGAGGTGGTTAATTTACCCTGAATCCTCAGGCTTTTATTTATTGAAGCCTATTTTGATACACTTTTGAAGAAGTTCATCAGAGATAAGGTGCCAGCAATGTCTGGTCTATGAGAATCAAACTCAGCTATTGCTGCAATACCACTACTACACAATTTCATTAGTTAGTATTTTAGTGAAATACTTGGCAAATAAATTGCCTCTAGAAATAGTAACCAAAACAACAAAGGAAAAATTAGGATCCCTGACATATATCCAAATCCTACTAGTTTAGGATGAAAGATTAAATAAATTAAGCAATCAATTTTAGTCAATTTTAAACTAGTACATATTTTTTACTGATTTCTAAATATTAAAAACTGAAGATTTAGCCTAAGGATCAGAGAAAAAGAAAAAGAAAAACAAGAGAGAGAGAGAAACACTGCCTTTCATTTAACCACTGACAGGATGTCATTTTAAACTTGGAAAGTCAGTTTCCTGCTCTTCAAAACACTGATAGATTTATGTCTCAAAACAGATTTAAAATATCTTTTTCACCTTAAGAACCAACCTCTACAACTTACCAGTATTTGTTCTGCTTCCTTTAGTTGTTTTGTAGTTGCTGAATATCACTGTCTCTCTTCTCTACTTCTTTTCTAAAACTTGCATTTCATGATGGATTTTTCCCTGATTAAGTGCTAATTTCATTAGTTCCTGAAATCCCATCTCGGATAATTAACAACTCCAGGACCTGTCGGATAATAGTTGAATTAAATCAGACAACAGAATACTGAAGGCCTGCATTTCAATGAAACACAAGAATCCATAGGTGAATTGGCTAGGCTATAAAATGTTAAACACTTCAAAATATTATTTCCGATCTTTGTTAAGAATAAATAGCTTAACTCTGATTATTCTGGAACCTCAAACTTGTACAGCCAGATATCCCATCATTGTCATCTCTGAAAAACCTTCATCTGTTTGAAAACATTCTTTTGATGAACATTACCTGGCAGTCTGCCCGCAGCAAGTGCATCCCCTGGTAAATGACCGTTCACACCATTAGTGGAAGGATTATTCATCTGACCCAATAACCCACTTCTCATCTCTAAATCAGTTGGGTATGGTCTCCGAGGGTCCCCTAAAACAATGAACACTGCTTTTAATTTAATTATACATTTAAAAAGCATTAATTAGGTAATTAATTAATGAAGGTAATTAATTACCTTCTTTGAAGTATTAATTTTCCTTGGTTCACACTGAAAAGTTCACACTATACTCAACTTTGAAATATGAAAGTCATCCTATGAATTGTTATTAAGGGCATAACATTTTTTTAAAACATACATTTTTATTTCTCTGAATCTTCCCAAGAATACACTATTTTCTGTTTAAAAAAATGAGATGTCTGTCATCTTAGTAAACATTCCAAATGACAACTTAAGAAAACTATAATGATCTAGATTCTTCTAAGTTAACTTCATTTTCTAGTAAGAAAATACCAATGATATATACTGAAGGAGAACAGATCATGACATTTACAGAAAAGACTGGGATGTTATTAGAAGGACTGTCTAAATTAAGATGTTTTTCTAACCAACCTCTTTGATCTTGTCATTTAGACTAATTTCTATGACTTTCTAGTGGAATATCAAAAGCAGGGAATGTTTATTCCAATCATAAAAGCATACTAAATAGCAGTTTAGGGTTGATAAAAAACATAGCCAGATTTGGACCAACTTTTTAGTAGTGTTTCTCATCAACTCCAGATTACTCACCCCTAAAATTATAGTTACCCTTAGTGCTTTTACCATAAAATACCACCTTCAGGAGTTACTAAAGTGGAGACAACTATCTCCCATTCCTCCAATAAGGCTGCTCTTTTATGTTTTATCCACTGTCAATATAGCTGCAGCTTGTTACTTTCTATGCTGTTTTTTCCCCCCTTCCTCTTTCTGTGGGTCAATCTTTGTTGTTTCTATTCATTCCAGCTCTTTCCCAGCCTGTGTGTCTGCTGTTGGGTGCTCAGTGCCTTGTCTTTAGCACCTAAAAGAACTAGGATTGTCTGTTGCTCAGGCTGGACCTTTGTGAACTCTCCTGATGGTTCTGAAACATTGGCCTCTGACCAGCCTGATTTTAATAGGCATATAAACCTATAGCTTTAGAAGCATCACTGTTACCTTATAATTTTTTAAATTATTAATTTATTATTTTAAAAGAGCAAAGAAATGCAGTCCCTAGTGGCAATGACTTTGTAGAAAATCAAATTTATAAAACCCATGGCCTATATCCTTGTAAGACATTAAGGATGTGAAAATATGTAGCAGATGTTTCTAACAATAAATACAGTCTGTATTTTAATCTATTTTATAGACAATCACCTAAGAATTTTCAAAACCACATATACGTAGTATAAAAGAGAAGTATTTTTACCTGGAACCCAGGTCAGTGGAGCACACACAGCATTACTTGCACTAATCCTATGTGCATACTTAATTATTTCTTCAGAGGAGATAGCACCTGAAGTGAGGTAAGGAAATAGTGTAACCTTTTAGTCTAGTAATATACAGGCTTAGAAGAGCATATCATAGTAACACATTGTACTTAGTTTTTAAATTACCTGAAAATATAATCTCAGCCACCCGCCTTTCCTAACAATACCTGCATATATATTGTAAACTTAAATCACATACATTTCCAAACTAAAGAACAAGGCACTACTTCAGAAAAATCGACTGACATAAAGAAATAAATTTGGGGGACCTGAATGACAATACTCAATAATCTTAATTATTAACTAGCATTTACTACTACTACTCTTCCGAAAGCAACGGTGAGCACAAATAGAGAAAACAGTGCTTAATTTCTCAATGACATCCAAGCTATGAAATCAGAGCAGACAGTTCACACTATTCTGTTTGATTAACATGGTTCAAAGCTCTAAGTAGACCTAAGTAGAAAGATGTCTACAAGGTATTCATTAGGTGAAAAAAACTAAACTGCTTATATTCCATGAATGTGATAAAATAAAATAAAAAGAAAAACAATAAACTGCTAAATACGTATAGCATGACCTGATATTTGTTTTAAAATATATGTACATGTGTGTTTACATTTTTATTATATATGTATTCACAGACCTAGAAAAAAATCTGAAAGGACACACATCAAACTTTAACAGCAGTTATCTCTGAGAAGTGAGAACAACTCACTTTTCATTTTATAAACTTTAATTATTGCTTCAGTACAACAAGGTACTGTGTGTACATATGTAAAATTTCTGAAGACTAAAAACAAAACAAAACCATGGTCTAGAATTTAGACAGCCAGCCTCAGTCACCTCTCCTGGAGATTTGATTCTTGTTGGAGAAGACTAGCCCGTCTCTTGCAGCAGTCCCCAACCTGTTTGTCACCAGGCACAGATTTCATGGAAGACAATTAATTTTTCAGGTCTTCCAGTCTTCCCACAGTACTAACCTTTTCTTGCTTTTTCTATTGACTTAAGTTTCTCTTTTGCTTGATAAACAGCTGTTGCCTAATTTAAACAAGAATTAAAAAAAGAAATATGGTTTATTATTAACTATATCAAGAATAGTTTTTGGCTTAATTCACAAGATCATTTATCCCATAGGAACAATAAGCAAAATTTGGAAATCTCCACAATTTATTTGTAATGTTCTGAAACATCACTTGATATCATTAATTTCATCATTATTTAATGAAAGAATTATTATAAGTATATGTATATCCTCAACTATGACACCGTGGTTAAGAGTATGGAGTCAGATCTAGGTTTAAGATCAATCTCTCTACTTTTTAGCCTCCTTGGGCAAATAAGTTATTTAATTAAAATATTGGTTTCTTCATTTGAATAATGACATTGATGTTATATAAACTGTCATAAAGACTGAAACAGCCCAGACTTGGTGGCTCATGCATGTAATCCTAGCACTCTGAGAGGAAAAGACAGGAGGATTGCTTGAGCTCAGGAGTTCAAGAGCAGCCTGAGCAAGACCCCATGTCTCTACACAAAATAGAAAAATTAACATCATGGTATGCATTTGTAGTCCCAGCTACTTGGGATGAGTAAAGAGGATTGCTTGAGCCCAGGAGTTTGTGGTTGCAGTGAGCTACAACGGACACCACTGCACTCTACCCAGGGTGACAGAATAAGATTTGTCTTTAAAAACAAACAAACAAACAAAAGACTGAAATAACACATATACAGTGCAAAGCATAGGGCCTGGTGCCTAAATAGTCAATCTAGTTGCTACTATGTATCATAGAATTCAGTTTTATGGTCCTTGTGTTCACTGTCTTTAATTCAATAATTACATTTGTAGAAATCTAATCCAAAGAATATAATCCAAAATGCAGGAAAAAAAATTTTATCTGCAAGGATATTCATCAAAACATTATTTATACACAAAATTGAAAAACTAAATAAAGATGATACAATTACATGGGAAATGCTTAAGTTTTAATAAATAGTAATTGAAAATCTGTTAGTATCTTGCTAATCACAATAAGCTAAAAAATGAATACCCAAGACTTAAAGGAAATAAACCAAACTGTGAATAGTGACATTCTTTTAAGTGGTTGGACTAATGGCAACTTTTCCCCTCTTCTTTCTACTTTTCTGTATCTTCTAAATTTCTTTTGATAAGTATTGCTTTCATAGGAGAAAACAGATTTTAATATATTTTTGAAAAAGCATTTACTTGGGGCTGTTTCTTCAGTAGAGGTGGTTAATTTACCCTGAATCACTCAGGCTTTTATTTATTGAAGCCTATTTTGATACACTTTTGAAGAAGTTCATCAGAGATAAGGATGCCAGCAATGTCTGGTCTATGAGAATCAAACTCAGCTATTGCTGCAATACCACTACATAACAATTTCATTAGTTAGTATTTAGTGAAATAACTTGGCAAATAAATTGCCTCTTAGAAATAGTAACCAAAACAACAAAGGAAAAATTAGGATCCCTGACATATATCCAAATCCTACCTAGTTTAGGATGAAAGATTAAATAAATTAATGCAATCAATTTTAGTCAATTCATAAAACTAGTATATATTTTTTACTGATTTCTAAATATTTAAAAACTGAAGATTTAGCCTAAGGATCAGAGACCAAAAGAAAAAGAAAAAACAAGAGAGAGAGAGAGAAACACTGGCCTTTCATTTAACCACTGACAGGATGTCATTTTTAAACTTGGAAAGTCAGTTTCCTGCTCTTCAAAACACTGATAGATTTATGTCTCAAAAACAGATTTAAAAATATCCTTTTTCACCTTAAGAACCAACCTCTACAACTTACCAGTATTTGTTCTGCTTCCTTTAGTTGTTTTTGTAGTTGCTGAATATCACTGTCTCTCTTCTCTACTTCTTTTTCTAAAACTTGCATTTCATGATGGATTTTTCCCTGATTAAGTGCTAATTTCATTAGTTCCTGAAATTCCCCATCTCGGATAATTAACAACTCCAGGACCTGTCGGATAATAGTTGAATAAATCAGACAACAGAATACTGAAGGCCTGCATTTCAATGAAACACAAGAATCCATAGGTGAATTGGCTAGGCTATAAAATGTTAACACCTTCAAAATATTATTTCCGATCTTTGTTAAGAATAAAATAGCCTAACTCTGATTATTTTGGGAAACAGATTAATATCAAGGTTTTCTACTTTCTCTGCTATTCTTTCATACCAAACCAAATAAAACTAGCCTTTCAGGATAAGCAATATGCCAACATGAGCAGGTTTACTTGTTTCCCAGGCAAGATAAAATTTAAAAGTTTATTCTTACAAATACAGTGTAATGGAGATTCTCACAGAATTTGGTACCCAAGATGATTTTAGGTGGCACCAATAACTTTTTATAGATACATATGTGCTGATATATATTAGAAAAAAATGTTAACTGGGACATTAAACCTGTTATTTCATGCACAGCACTGCTTAGGATGAAGATGGTCTAAAAAATACAGTGATTTCAAAATACAGTAAATAAACAAGTGGTATGCAGATACGGCAAAAAACAAAACAAAACAAAAAAAAACAAACGAAGGTTAAAGTGCATAAAACAGAAAGTCTGGGGTTCATATCTCTAGTCCTACATTTGCTAGCTGTCTGACAGAGGGCAAGTTGCCAGCCTTTCTGAACCGGTTTTCTCATTAGGAAAAGAGATATAATAATAGTAGCAGTTACATAAAGTTATTATGAGGATTCCTGATATTATGCATGTTAAGTAGACACAGGAAGAGCTTAACAAAGGCTAGTATCATCACCACCCCATTATGGAATTAAGATGCAAGTCTAATCTAACTACTCTTACTTTACTGTGCTAAGTAGAGAATAACACTTCAGAAAGGAAAATGGCTATCAAAATCCAGAATCAATTTAAAAACTATTTTTAAAAGTGTATTAAAGACTGAAAAATATAGGTATTTCTCTCATTTTTATAGGAATTCTCACAAAATATACAAAAAACTGTGGTGTAACTTCTGTGTATTGAAGATTATTTATCCGGCAGATTACTAATCTTCATTCATTCTTCCCAAGTCATAGGAGAAGAAAGCTAGATTTCCATTTCTATAAAAGCCATATTTTTAAAGCAAGTTCCATGAAAACTTTCAAGAAGTTTACATGGTTTGAACTAACTTTTATGCTACCAGACAGTAATAAAAACTCTTTAGATTTTATTATTTAGTAGGAAAAAAATATTCAGTTAAAGTCAGAAGACCTAGTTTGTGGTTGCCCTCACTATTAACCTCTAGCTCATTTGTCCACCATGGAGCTCAGTCTCACAGAAGGCTAAACTGAAGACCATTAGGATCCTTTCTAATTCTAAAATTCTATATGAAATGATATGAATATTTGGATAAAATGGTGGCTAGAAAATTCTCAAACGGGCACATTGCTCTTTAATATTTAATAGTTTCAATGAAAATTACAGGAATCCATGGTGCCAAGTACAAGATACAGTTCACAGAATTCCAACCCCTTAAAAAGTGTAAGGTAGGCTGGGGGCAGTGCTCAGGCCTGTAGTCCTAGCACTTTGGGAGGCCAAGGCAGGAAGCCCTTCAGAGCCCGGAGTGTGATGTTGCACTGAGCTATGATCACGCCACTGCACTCTAGCCCAGGCGACAGTGGGAGACCCTATCTCAAAACAAAAATGAAAAGTGTAAGAAAGGTTAGTGCTGACTATGCAGGTCAATTATCACCTTGTGAATAGTCTGTGTGCCTGACTCATAGCAAGTAATAAGTGTCTTGTAAATCCTAATATCCCTAAAGTTAGCAGCTTTCCCCAACTTGTGGCCTTATCTGGATCACTTTTCAGGGGATTAATCCTTGAAGAAAACAGGTTCCCTGACAATTCTCTATTGGGTTCGCCAGATTTCTCTGCCTTCAAAACATGTCATAAGATAAAACTTGGATAAAGAAGGGGCAGAGGATGGGGAGAAAAGGTCTATGAGATACTCCTGTTTTATATCTTCTCTAGAAAGGTTAGTCCTCCTCCTTCATTGTCTCTTAAGAATATCTTTTACAATGGGGTAAAAGCATAATATAAAATTTATCTTCTGAAAATTTTCCGAATCAGAAAAAATATCTGCTCATTGTAGAAAATTAGAAGAACAGGAAAGTATAAAGCAAATAAAAACTACCTGTAAAATTGACACCCACAAGATAACCTCTATTAACAGTTGTATGTTCTTTTATTTCTATTCATTTTCAAGTCGTATTAGGGGAATTAAGCCTAATAAAGGGCTAAGTTTATGAGAGCATTAACTTTTGATTCCAAATACTATTTTAATCTCCATTTAACAAATTTTGTTGGTTAATTCAAAAGATGGAAATAAATGTATAGGAATAACTAGAACTATAAGAGAAAAGAATAATATATTGCCACATCTTTAGGCAACTATTTTCTTCTTAGGCATACCATTATCTTACATACATGATACACAGAAAATATCAATTTTAATGTTTCAATTAATAACTTAAAAGGATCCAATCTTCCTATTCTTACACAAAGTAAATATAAATAGGAAACTTAATAGAAATTACAGTTTTTTGTCTTATTTTTTAAATTAAAAAAGAAAACACTTACCTGGTTTTCTTCTCCCGACTGCAACAACTTTTGGTTTCTTGAAATTGCCAGCATTTCTATAAGTTCCCTAAAAGGAAAACAAACCAATAACAACAATGAAAAACCCTTTGCAAAATTTCCACTTATAGCAGAGGCTTTCTTATCTACTCTTTATCCAGTTGACTGGCTGGATTCAAGGTACTCATGACATGCTAAACACTCATAGCTACTGCCCTATGGTCCACTATGACTCTGGACTTCAGCTCTAACTGCTACACCACACTCTTGCCAAGATCAGCTGTGCTTGTTACCAAACTTATTTATATGAGTTTTAATTATCATTATAATTATATAAATGTCCATTACATAAATGCCCATGAAATATGACTGTGAATAAAGTTCTTTCTATAAAAACCTAAGCCAAATGCTTAGAAAGACTCAACAGAGGTTTGCAAAGGACAACTATTCTATAAACAACCAGGGAAAAGTCATAAAAATTCAGCAAGAGTCTGACCTAAGACTGCTTGATGAGAGGCTAAGTTCTCATTTTGATTTGATTTAGAAATCAAATTAGAAACTGTAGACAATGCATTATGAGTGAATTACTCATAATGCAAGAAATACTACATCAGGGCTTTGCAGGCCAAAGCCAGCACATATGCAGTTTTTGTAAATAATGTTTTATGGGAAGACAATTATGCCCATCAATTTACACATTATATATGGCTGCTTTTCCACTACAAGAGCAGAGGAAAGTAGTTGCAACAGAAATGATATGGCCTGCAAAACCAAAAATATTTAATATCTGACCCTTTAAAGAAAAAGCTTCCTGACCTTTGTCTTACATGAAATGATTAGTGAATGAACTAAGTTTATGTTTTAAGGTAAAATAAAGCAACTAAGGGATGCATGGATCATTTTTTAATGACCCTCCACTTTAACTGAGTTTTTAAATTAAACATCTATCAGCTAAGAGGGATTCTTACACATAGTAAAATTCTATCCCTCTAGAATGCTCTTTTAATAAATATGCCAATTTTCCTATATGAAAATCAGCATCAGATCAGGAAAAATGTACAGCAGGTAATATTTATATATTAGTTCTGAACTTGTTGATAGATGGCATGTTTCAGAAGTAATGCAGGAGAGGGCAGCTTCACAACAAGCTACCTGACACTGCTCCATTCAGACCAAGTGTTAGTATCTTCTCACTGGCTGCCAGGTTATTTTTACCTTTATATTTCCACCTTCCTTCTGCTAGCCTCGTAACATTTCTCTGGATGATGCCAACTGGACCTAACCTTCCCCACTACTACTTCCCCATACCATTATGTATGAACTAATTAATTAATGGAAAAGTGCATATAAGAACACAAAATCTTCATTCAATAATCAAATATTTACTGAGTGCCTATTAATGTGCCAGGCATTTTCTAGATACTTGGGTTATAAAAGTGAACAATGGCACTTAAATTCTAATACAGGAGACAAGAATAACTAGGAGAAGAAATAAAATACCCAGAGTATTTTCTGCATGTGAGTCCCAAGGGGGTGGGTAGGTGGGTGGGTGGATGGGTGGATGGATGGATGGATGGATGGATGGATGAATAAATAAATACCCAGAGTATTAAGGGTTGGAAAGGAAATAAAGCAGAGTAGAATATTAGAGACTGTCAGGGAGGTGGGATGGATGGCTATTAAATTGGGTAGTCAGGGAAGTTCTTTCTAAGGGCACATCTCTGAGGTAAGACATGAATTAAATCAAAAAATTCTGGGAGGAAAGAATGCTCGGCAGAAGACATAGCTAGTTCACTGGCCCAAAGATATGTTTGAGGCGGGGTAGCCAGAGCACTGTGAGCACTGGGGGGAGGGATGCAAAGTGAGGATAAAGGTAGGTAGGTGGGGATCAGATTATGTAGGGCCTGTAGTCATGGTAAAGGATTAGTGTTTCATTCTAAGTCCAATGAGAAGCCATTGGATCATTTTAAACAGGGAAGCAACATGCCCTGATTTACATTTCTAAATAACTACTGAGCTATTTGGTGAATAGACTGTAAGAGCACCAGAATAGGAAACAAGTTAGGTGGTTTTCGTAGTGTTCCAGGCAGAAGATGACACTGGCCTTGACTAGGTCCCAACCTCCAAGATTTAGTAATGGTAATGGGAAAACATGGACAGATTTAGGATATCTTTTGGAAGTAGAGCTATCAGAACTTGGTGATGGATTAAACTGACACTATATGAAAACAACACATCACGTGAATCTTTTTCAGTACTCCATAAATGACACACAATCAAGAACCTCTGGTCTATGTAAAAAGCTGGTTTCAGGTGGGGAGAGGGTGGTGGTGACTGCAGTGGGGCTATGGTAGGAGATGTAGAATAAACCTTTTGTTTTTCATACAAATCTGGGAGTATAATCCACAGAAAGCTTTACACAGATTTGCCTTAGGTACAGGAGTACAGAGGAAGTAGATGTCTCTAAGACTTAGTAATGTTCTTAACCATCCAGGACAGAACGAAAACTTCTGTCCTCCCCAATGGCAAAATGAGGCTGAAAGGCCCCTGTGCCCAGTCCTGCTACAGAAGAAGAAAATGAATTCCTGGTATACCACATTAGGATCAAGGCACACTTTCCCATAGAAATACAATGTATATAGGGCTTAGAGCCTATATTATTAGTGGTAGTACACTTCAGGTAAATTATAGGTAAAAAGAATTAACAGGCTGGTGTAGAATCCTCCAGACTCCTATCAACATGGCTTCTGAGGGACAAAGAGTTCTGAGTTATAAACAGGTTTAAAAGACTTTTAGACTACAATCTGTATTTCTATTTTTTAATTTTCTCCAAAGACTATTTCATTCTATTATATTTCACAAAGTAATAAATATACTGAAAGGCTATATAATCAGAGTAACGGTAAAAATATATCCTAAATTTCAAATCTGCTATTTTCTAATGTCAAGAGGCTCAACATAAAAACATATAAGGTACATTAGTGAGAAGATTTTCTTCTTATTTTTCATAAAATGCAAACCATACACAAATTTCATTCAGAAGCTAATGACAAAATTCACAGATCACAGAGTCAGGACATGTAACTATGTCTGAGAGTGAGCACACAATGAGACTTTCCTGAAAGCCAATCACCTTGGAGCAGCTTCATTCTGTGGAGGAGTTCCCATGAGCCTTAGGTGGCAAACCAGAAAGTAACATCTCTTGCACTACCACCACCATCTCCAGGATCATAAAAGAGGTACAATTTTCACTTACCTATTGTCACTCACTCTTTCTTTAGAGATGAACAAATAACGTGACAGATAAGTCATGAGAAAATCAAAGAAAAACGAACCTCCAAGACAATGGTCATTAATATTGACTACAGAACCCCTCAAGGAAGAAGAATCCTATCACCAATCTGTCTGTAGATTCAGTAAGGAAGATTACAAGCTAATAAGAAATCAAAGTCTTTTTGGCACTCCTGGAGAAAGGATAACGGAACTACAGCTTCTTTTAGAGGAGGCAAAAGAGAACTCAGCACCTCAACTGATCATGTACAACTGGAAAGCTGAAGGAGGCTTCCAAACCAATGAAGTTCTTGAGGAAAATGTAAATGATGATCCACTACTTCAGTGGGTAAATATGTTTCAAACAGGAAATGCTACACTAAGTAATGAAGGAAAAAATCAAATACGGAAAGCTACAAATTGGTCAAATCTATTAATAGATGCAAAAGAATTTCAATTTAGTCTAACATTTAACATAATTGACAAATTACTTAATTACGCTATCCCAAGTGAAGAGTACATGAATATCAAGTATATACAATCCTGTAGGTACCAACAGCATCAGGAAAACACACTTCAGATACACAGCCAGGTAGTCAAACGACCCAAAGGCAAGATCTCAAGACTGACTAGTGGGTTGTCCAATGTCAGAAGAAATTCTCAAAGACCATTACAGGTGGACAGGCTCAGAAAAACAGTTCCTGAACTTGGTGAATATGAAATATATATTAGGCCTACTCAGCAAAACAGAAAAACAAATTATGATACAGTAAGTAAAGCTCAGAAAAATGAATTTACTGAGCTCAAGAGTAGAAAGGTGAGAAGTAATAGTTCATTGAATATACTAAGGCAAATATTTGAAATTCTAAGAATAAGACCTACTCAGAAGAAAAGACTGCAGCCACCACTTCCCAAATGGGGTGTCACTTCTTCACAAAGCCAACGTATTTACAGAAAAATTAACCGCTACCATCCATACCATATGGTTGGTCAAAATGAACAAACTATAAGGGACACTTCAACTCCAGTAATTTCACACTCAACAGCACCATCAAGATTCCTTAGCAAAGATGTTAGAAGCCAACCAAATATAAGACTTAACCTTCAGGTGAGAATTCTCCCAGAAGAAAAAGCTCAAGGGACTATTTCAAGCAGAACATCCAAAATTCAAAGAACTGGAAAAATTGGCTCATACATGAGCAACAGAGGTATTTCCCAATTAATCATTAGTTGTTCTGAATCCAGTGGAACACAAATTTGTTTCAGAACTACACGGCTACCTCTTAAAGGTATTTCAGAGACTGAGTATGGTAGATCAATGGATCTTAAAGCACTGGTTAGGTTGAGCACACTGAGTTTTTCAAATGAAAGTTGGTCCTATTTAGAAAAGCAGTGGCCTAGGCAGCATTTATGGGATGTTAATTTGTTGTTTAATAACTTTAAAAGAATAAGAACTCAACACGAACTAAATGAAGCTTCAATCTGCTGTCCCAAAGATAGTCATGTCACACCAAACAAAGACATGAATAATTTAACTGAAGACACCATACTGCGAATGCTCTGTCTAGCTAGTGTCTTTTTACTAAGAAATAATGTGAATATTCATTTAAGAGGACTAACTAATAATAAAGAAACTAACAAATTCTTCACCACAAAGTACAAAACCAGCAAAGACAAAGAAGAAAATAGCCCTTCCATTAATCTGTGTAAACATTCACATAGAGGCAATACACTAAAACAGCTAGCTGTCTTATGCCTACAAGTTTCTAGCTCACAGTATTAACGATAGGCCAGCTGAAAATTCCATGTGCCCTATTTGTGATCAGACAGTATTTGAGTCTAATACAGTTTAAACTGTGGATTAAACACATAAGCCATTTTACTTCTGGTGTCTGTGTGTTTTTAGGTTTTTCTTCCATTTAATATCATGCTGACCTAGTAACTTGGTAGGTAATGCTGTGGCAAGGACTAAATTTACAGCAAAGATAAAAGGCTGATTGTAAGTAGATCCAGTATATTTCAAAATACAATAGGTAAGATTTTTTCTAAAGCTGTCAAAGATGTTGCTAGAGAAAGGTTACATTTGAGCTGGATTTTGAAGGATGAATGAATCATTCACCAAGTTGGAAGTGGAGTGGGAATAGCACTGGAGATAAAGTCTGGCTAGCTTGAAAATGGGGAGTACTCAACAGAAGTTAGAGTGAAAAGTAAGGAAGGCAGAGGGTGTGGCAGCAAATGAGAACAGGTTGGACTGAGCAAGATGGAGAATGGACTTGCTCCACAAAACCTAAGGATATCTGATTTAACCATACTGGACAACGGGAATCTACCAAATATTTTTCTGCAAAACTTAATGAGATGCCTTTTAAAAAATATAGTGGTCTTGGCAATATAATAAGAGTAAAGCGCGAAGCATAAGTAAGTAACACTGTTGGGAGGTTGCATTTAAAGAAGTAGTTACTGACACGGGATAGGAATGAGAGGCAAATCTGAAATTTTAGGAAGTAGAACCAATACAATTTAACATAATCCAAGTTAAGTGAGGGATTAAGAAAGACTCCAGAAAGGTGACAGAATACGGAGAATGAATCCAATGTTGATCACTATCTCTGCACCACATGCTGCACTCCAGTCATCTCCCAAACAACTTGCAATTCCAAGTCGTGCGTGCTCACGTTTCCAGGCTTTTTATTTACCGGCCGCCTAGGGAGTCTGGTGAACTCTTTCTTCAGGAAGCCTCTCTGACTACAACGGGAAAGGTGCCTGGGTCCCTGTGCTCCAGTAGCCGCAGCGCAGCCCTGTCAGTTTACACTGTAGTCACTCTTTTGACAACCGACATCCAGCTCCCTTCGCGACCGTCTCCCAGCGCTCTGCACCCAGGGGCATTCCAAACGTTGCCTGAGTGTCCGCGGCCAAGGCAGAAGGACTCAGAAGGGACTCAGACCGCGGCTTTTTAAAGCTCTGACAGCCTTGGGTTTCAGGGTCACTATCATTAACTAAATATCCCCTAAAAGAAAAAAAAACAGCCAGAGTCCCGGAGAGTTGCGGACCCTAAGTCCACGACACTGTGCACCGGAGACTCCCCGAACTAGGTCTCCCCGAGCCCCCGACGAGCGCTAACGCCCGCGCCGAGCGGCTCGGGAGTCACTCCCGACCCAGCCCCAGCCGGGCTGTGAGGCGTCGCCCTTACCTCGACAGGACCTCCAGGTCTTCAAGCGCAGACAGCAGCCGCTCCGCGTGCTGTTCCACTCGCCGCTCGAGCCTCCGCCGAGCCGCTCTTCTCCTTCCCCCACTGGAAGTCGCACCATGCTCCCAGGCCGGCAGACGGCGTCGGGACGCTGCGAGCAGACGCTGGAGGAGGTGGGCTCGGAAGCGAAGTAAGGGTCACCGGGGAGAGGAAGTGAGGCCCGGCAGAGCGCCCCCTGTGCGCCTGAGGCGCACTGCGGCCGCGGCGCATCTGCGGGCCAGAAGGCTTGGGACCAAAACCCTTGAGACATCTGCTGACCCGACGCTCAGAAGCACACACACTCGGGGCTTCTTTCCCCTGATCATTTTCCAGGCAATAGGAGGCTTCTGTTAAAACGATTTTTGGTTTGATTTTTGTTGTTTCTGAGCAAGGTCTCTTCTCTGTCGCCCGGCTTAGAGTGAATGCTCCATCGACCTAGCTCATACAACCTCCAAATTCCTGGGCTCCAGTTCCTCTTGCGCCACCTCCCGAGTTACCTGAGATATCAGTCCCTGTGCCACTACACCAGGCAATTTTAGAAGTGAGGTAAGACGTCTGCTGTGTCCCAGGCTGGTCTGCAGCTCCTATGCTCAATGCGATCCCTCTCCTCTCGCCTCCAGAGTGTATGGTTGAGAATGCAGCGCGCTTATTATATAGCACCTCTGGCTGATAGGATTAAAGGTGTGAGCCACGCCCTGGCCTGCTGGTTGTTTTTTAAGCATTTGAAGAAATTACGTCCTGGTATACCTCTTTCTACCAGTTTCTTCGTGTGATCATGGAGCACTCAGTCTCGGTACTAAATCCTTCTCCTTAGCCAGAATTCTCATAATGCTGTTCCAGCCCTCCTGTGGGCCTGTCGTGGCGGCTGTAGTAAGCACTTTAAGTCAGGAACCATAATCATTTTCCCGATTTTTTATTGGTTAAAACACACCATAACAAAATTGACTATCTTAACCATTTTGAAGTGTACAGTTCAGTAGAATTAAATACATTCACAGCTGGGCGTGTTGGCCAGGCCTGTAATTCTAGCACTCTGTGAAGCGAGGCGGGCGGATGCTCTGAGTCAGGAGTTTGAAACCAGCTGAGCAAGAGGAGCCCGTCTCTACTATAAAACGAAAGAAATTAATTGGCCAACAATATAGTATATGAAAAATTAACGCGCAGTGGCTGGCCATGCCTGTAGTCCAGCTACTCGGAGGCTGAGGCAGGAGGATTGTTTGACAGCCCAGGAGTTTGAGGTGCTGGAGCTAGGCACGACGCCCACGGCACTCACTCTAGCCTGGCAAAAAAGTAAGACTCTTCTCAAAAAAAAAAAAAAGAAAAAAAAAAAGAATTAAATACATTCACACTGTTGAGCAACCATCCCATTCCAAAACTGTTTTTACCATGTAAAATTGAAACTCTATACTCACTAACCACTAACTCCCTTATTCTGTCTTTCCCCAGCCCCTGCCAACCAGCATTCTACTTTCTGGTTTTGCAGGGTGTGGTGCTCACGCTGTGAATCCTAGCATCTGGGAGGCTGGAGCGGGAAGATCCACTCAGGTCAGGATTCCAAAGCTGAGCAAGAGCGAACCCCACCATCTCTACTAAAAACAGAAAGAAATTAATTGCAATAAAAATTATATGATAAATAATAGGCCAGGCTATGGTGGACTATACTGTAGTCCAGCTATCTCGAGAGGCTGAGGCAGAAGGATTGCTTGCGCCCAGGAGTTTGAAGGTTGCTGTGAGCTGGGCTGCGCCACGCACTCTAGCCCAGGCAACAGAGGTAGACGATGTATCTAAAAAAAAAAAAAAAACTTTTTTTTTTTTTTTTTTTTTTTTTTCTTTTTTCTGTTTATATAATTTGACTACTAGGTTCTGTGGGGGGAGGGAAAACTTCCTTTCTGGGGAAGGTTAGCTGGAAGATTTGTAGGTTGTGCAAAAGTAATGGTGGTATATGACCCTGATTTTTTTTTTTTTTTTGAGACGATGTTCACTTTGTGCCCAGGCTAAGTGAGTGCCCATGGCATCAGCCTACTCAAGCAACCTCAAATCTGGGCTCAAGCCGATCCTGTCTGTCTCAGCTCCCAAGTAGCTGGGATGCACAGGCATGACACCATTGCGCTATTTTTCATATATTAGTTGCAATTTAATAATAAAATAGGAACTACTACAATCAACACATTGTTGCCAACAAGAAAAAAGTTTGTTTATTCCTGTAGCATATAAATCTGTGTTTCGGGGTTTGAGGAACCTTTGGGAAGCATTTTCTATATCCTGCTCGTTGTGGAAGCCTTTTCCCTGCCAAAAGTTGTCGAGGTGCTTGAGCAGTGGTAGTTGGTTTGTTAGGTAGATAGTGAGGGATTCCGGGTCTCCTAGGGATGAAAGCGGGTGCTGTTGCCCCCATCTTGGTCCTGCCCAACCCTAATTCTCCACACCTGGGAGAGGAAGGAATACTCTATGAATCTGCCAATCAGAACTTGGTGCGCCAGCTGGAAGAGAATGCAGAGGACTCTATCTAGCCCACGGGCCAAGCCTCATGGGTACCATAAAGTCTTGAAAGTGACCTAGAACGCACATGCCTAGCTAAGGCTCAGGTCATGCGACTCTCAACTATCTAATCAAAGTGGTTCCATGGTGACCTCTGAACCACAAGGGAGGTCACTGGACACTATACAATAAGACATAGACCACAGCCAAGCCCTCTCTGTTTGCCCTTCCTTTTGCCTGCCCTGCTGCGACAATGCGTTCGGTTGGTTGTCACCCGTGGCTTATGTAACATGCTTTGTAAACCTGTATCTTGCTCTTGCCCTATAATCCTATCTTTCTCTCCTCAATAAACCTCATTTTCATGCTTGCCTAACTTTGGTGTGTCTGGTCATTCTTCAGCCAAGAACCGATGGTTTCAGACTGAAACCTAACAGGTTGGCAAGAGGTCAGATGAAAGTCAGGCAAAACTTCGAAGCAACTTTTGAAGCATTGGTTGTGCGATGTGTGGTCAGACATTGTGGAGAAGAATTGGGCCCTTTCTGTTGACCAATGCTGGCTGCAGGCGTTGCAGTTTTTGATTCATCTCATCCATTTGCTGAGCATACTTCTCAGATATAGTGGTTTCGCTGGGATTCAGAAAGCTATAGTGGATCAGACCATCACAAGACCATCAAAAGTGACCATAACCTTTTTTTGGTGCACATTTGGCTTTGGAAAGTACTTTGGAGCTTCTTTTTGGTCCAACCACTGAGCTGGTCATTGCCAGTTGTCATATAAAATCCACTTTTTGTCACATGTCACAATCCGATCGAGAAATGGTTCATTGTTGTTATGTACAAGAAGAGAAGATGACATTTCAAAATGACATGACGATTTTTTTTATTTTTGATCAGCTCATGAGCTACCCACATATAGAGCTTTTTCACCTTTCCAATTTGCTTCAAATGCTTCAAATGGTTGATGTTGAGTTCTTCAGCAGCTTCTCCTGTAGTTGTAAGAGGATCAGCTTCAATGATTGCTCTCAATTGGTCGTTATCAACTTCCAGTGGCCGACCACTGAGCTCCTCATCTTCAAGGCTCTTGTCTCCTTTGCAAAACTTCTTAAACCACCACTGCACTGTACGTTCATTAGCAGTTCCTGGGCCAAATGCATTGTTGATGTTGCAAGTTGTCTCTGCTGCTTTATGACCTATTTTTAACTCAAATAAGTAAATCACTTGAATTTGCTTTTTTGTCTAACATCATTTGCATAGTCTAAAATAAATGTAAAATAAACAGCAAGTAATAAATTATTAGCCAAAAAACATAAAGTGAGAAATGCACATTAAAATGATGTATAACATAACCACATTTATTGGATTTTTTTTTATTTTGTTATGACCACTTTTATTTAAGAATGTATTCCAATATCAAATGGCAAATTTCAACAATGCTAAAACCGCAATTGCTTTTGCACCAACCTTAATAATTTGCAACTAATAAGAAAAAGAGATGACGAATTTATTTACTCTGCACATGAGGAGATTCACAGAGTGATTACCGAAAATCCCAGTGGGGTGCAGAAGTTTATATATCCTCATTTTAGAGGGGAGGGTGGGATGAGGAATATAGGCAATTCTGTCGAGGGGCAGAATGGTTAGTGGGGAGGATGAATAGGTACTTTGGAGAATGAATGGATGGGGTAAGCAGAATGACTTGCAAATGATTCTCTTTGGAAATTAAGTCAACCTGAAAGACAAGTATTATTTTTGAAATGGGTTGGGCCAGGTCTGGTTGCATTCTTGACCTTTCTTACAATAGATATAGAGATAAGAGGGAGAGGAAAGAAATGCAATTATTCTTCTTAATGTTTGCATCTGGTTTTTAATGAAGGCAGAGGGAAAGTCCCTTCCAACACATGTTGATCTCCAAGGGCCTTTAATTCAAAATATTCTTTATACCAAGTGTAACAGAGTAGTCGCCCCTCCTCCTATAGATGTGGAGGGGAAATAATGAGAGTGGGGAATATGTAACAGAGGGAATGGCCTGAAAAATCAGCAAAAGTATTTTCTGTCTCTTTAAAACATCTTCCACTCCTTTTTGAGGACTAATGCCTGCATCCCTTTGGCCAGTGGTTGGGAGGGAAACGGTCAGTCTTTTGTTATTTGTGCAACAGGAGATGGCCCAGCCTGGACCTGATAAAGGGAGGTTCTGGGCGGAGGTCAAAAGATTGTCTTTAGCTGAGATGGGATGATCAGCATCATCAACTGTAGTTAAACAGTAATTGCCTAAAGCTGAGAACCCATCCTTTAAGAGCTTTGTATTTCTGCTTATTAGCATGATGGTATTTTAGACAGGAGTCTTCATCCTCCTCCTTTGCCAGCAATGTAATTAAACTTCCTTTTCCTTATCCTCAAACTGCTTGTTCTTATTCTTCTGATGTGGCCTTGGGACAAGTGTTTAAGCTTTTGGTAACACAATGAGTCATATTTTGGGGTGAAATTCTCTGAACTCCTTCAGTACTCTATGTATGAATAAGAATCATACAGCATTTATCTTTCTGTGGCTGCCTTATTTCATTCAGCATAATGTCCTCAAGGTTCATCCTTATTGTAACGTGTCAGAATTCCCCTCCTTAAGGGTGAATAATATTCCATTGTACATAT